AATAACAAAACATCATGCAGAAAACATGTGACACTAGAAAAGGTATAAATACAGACAACAGTTTGCTCATAAAACTCAACAATACAGTTCCACATCACAATGCAGGCTTTCTACTTGCTGTTTCTATTCTACTTCGTCGGCATAGCGGGTGAGTCTTAATTGTTTCCGTTAAAATTCAATGTCACAGCGAAAGTGAGTAAGCTTCGTTTGACTTCACACTGACCACACTTCGATGAAATGTTTCTCACTGCACAGCAGTCTTTCATACGGTAGTGTGAACCGTGCTACTGTGTATCACAACCTGAAATTCGTTGCTATTCGTCATCATAGCAAATATAGCTTTTGATGTTTATTTTGTAATCTTCTATTTCATGATCCAGTGTTCGTTTCGTTCAAAATTCGACAGCTGCACACCAAATCATAATTTCTTATGTCAATAAGCTTGGCCCACTGTAAATTGAGAATAAGTAATTCACGAACTAGCTAGTGCAGTTGTTGACACCAGTGATGGGACAGTTCCTTCAGTTGTAATGATTATTATTGTTATTGTATCCTTTAGTTCCTAGAGGAACATAGGGCTTCAGCTGCGCACCTCCATTGCCTTCGGTTTTCTGCCAACTTTTTCACTCTGCTCCAAGTCTGCCATATGCTTTCATTTCCTCCTCGCATGACCTCTTCGAAGTCACCCTCGCGCTGACGACCAACTCGCCGTTTCCCTTTCGGGTTCCACTCGAGCAGTGGCTTGTCTAGTGATGTCGCTTGATGGTTTCCTCAGAGTGTGGCCAATCCATCTCCATTTCTTCCTGCCTATTTGTTTCACAATCGGTTCCTGGTTGGTTCGCTCCCAGAGTTGTAATGATAAAATGCCATTTTTCAAACAAAAATTTTCACCTGTTAACTACCTGAGTACTTCTGATGTACGTAGGGGATGAACTGAAACTATGTGTCAGAAATTTCACCTGTGGTTTAATTTTCAAATACATTACATGTCTAATGAATATGTCAAAATGTTTGGAAATTTTTTCATCATTTTACGAGGCCAGGTTTTTCTAAATCCATTTGGTTTGACCCTCTGAAAGCGTGCTATATTTCATGTGGATAATGAATTGGGTAAATTGTGTTGTCGAAATACTGATTTCATCTAATGGTTTATTCCTTAGACTGTTGGCAACGTAGTGAGTATTCATTTAAATAATTTATCCGCCATTTTTAATGTACTTCGTTTTCGACATTTTATTCATTTTGATACGAATGAAAACCGTTTGTTCAAACGTTTTTTGTTGTACTCCTGAATTCATTGATTCAGAACAATATTATGAATTATAACCCTATTTGGGTCAAACTTATATAGATACTTCTCATTGTGAGGTCATATAGCGCATGGTGATCTACCCTACGTAACCAGCTAAGTACCATTTCACCTTCATAAAATTTTAAATAATCCCATATGTATGACATTTGCCTCAAATGCTTATTCGCATATACGTGAGCAGAATGAATGAAACCATTTATTTGCAACCGACGTCTCTGCTGCCGAAGTGAGATTTAGAATTGCAAATATTTTGATAATGCTTCTTTCTAACCAGAACCTACATAGTGTAGATCATGGTCACTGATTGCATATCGGACTTGTAGCCTAATTTCCAATGTGACTGGAGTACCTGCTCGCCAAACATGACCCTGTATAATAGCGTAAGGTATGAACGTGATTTTGTAGGTTGAAGATTCTAAGCTGATGAAAAATGCTGACTTAGTGAACACAAACTATTGCTTTATATGCTTAAACATATTCTATTCTATGTTTCAAACACATTCATACAGTTATGCAAAATCCAATATCATATAAATATAACCATCCAATATTTCAGCGCAGCAGTGCATCTTTTTGCAAATAATTAGGAAACAGCAGATGGGTGGGGTTAATATTAACTTGAAAGTCTCCATTTTTCAATCGAATTGAAAAGTAGGCATTGCTACGATCAGTCGGTTGTCTTCCCGATTCACTATTTTGAGAAATCACTAAATTATCAGTCACAAAAGCTCAACCAGTTGTACATACGGTAATTTAGTAAACAGATGAAATGTATCTTCATTAATAATTAAACATCACATTAACAGTTCATTATATCTCTTAATATTTTCCACAGCTCCTCATATACGTAAGTCAAGATTAACTGCATATAATGCGTATTTATTGGAACATTAAGGGGAACTCATGTGTTACTGACTGAAGTAGTATTTTCGTATTCGGCGGTGTGAAACATGGTGATATAAATAAAAAGGAATGAATAATTTACCATGAGCTCTTCAGAAATCACATTAGTTATCTTGTTAAAATGAACCTCAGAGAATTTTGCAGTTACTCTATCTTGGTGTATTGTGTGATCAGTAGAGTGGCGAACACACTGTAAACTGTAACATTTTGCCTTCTAATTCATGGTGAAATTGTTCTGGGATTCATCATTTCAATCTACAGTGGATGCGGCTATTTTGTGGTCGTTCTCTCCTAACTAATATTTAACACCAGAATGACAATCATATCTAGTGTTCTAATAACCAGAATAATAAGCGGTGTTTAACCACAGTAGTACTCGTACAGTTTGAAGTTGGTGAATATCATATCCCAGTGCAACAGCTTAAAATAAACATTTTGTGAGCTATATGCAGCTTACTTCTTCATGCTGAACAATCGGCTTTTCGATAAGACGATTAAACAGAATTTCTCACGGTATTTCATGTTATAATAGCCAGTTTCTTACTTATGCCTCTGTTTCACTAAAATCGGCATAGAATGATTTTGAACTGGTTTATTCTATTTATTTTACAGAGGCTGCGATTGAACAACTACGTAAGTTAAGCATTTCAAAATCAACAGAAAATTTACTTGAAATAAACGAATCGGATAAGCATCCAATGGCCATTCTGGAATTGAGTATTTTGGTTTGATGAAATAATCATCCTCTGGTTTGGCCAGTTTTGAGACTGAACTAAAACAATTTCAAGAAGTTAAAGAAATTACTCGAAGTGAAACTACTCGATTACAACAATCGAAATTGTCCCACTTGGTTATACTCATAGGTAGCTAAAATGAACACATTTGTCTCATTTCACACTGTTAATATTGACCGTTAATGAGACAATGTGGATTGAACAGCAGGATTCCTATTCATGTAATGCATAGTGACTGAATGTGGATAAATAGGATAATTGCCATGGTTGCAGGTGGATTTGAACCAAAAGCCTGTGAACTGAAATTCTGGGCATCTATCTCCTGAAATATGAGAACGAGATGTTAATCACATTGTCTGCTTACTGAGAATAATGTCATGAGTGTTAAGTTTGGTAACTCTTGGTAGCTTTTGTGAATTGATGAAATTCAAACAGCATTTTCGTAATACTTAGACTAACGTTTTTGCTCATCAGGACACAATATTTAAATTTGATTTCTACTGTTTTTCATTTTATGTACAGAGGAAATAGCTTTAAACAATGGTATGATTCAAATGTAACTGGTATTATTTATAAACCGACACCTGATTAAATAATGAACGTTCTTGGTAATGTCCACTGCACAAAATTCGCATTATATTAACTATGGTCTGAGTCCTACTTCAGATACTTAATGTTCATTTTATTACCTTTGAATATTGTCGATTTCTTACACGCTTTGGCGAATTTGAAATAATTCTATAGGTGTGAAAAAAATGATCCCTATTTAACTGTCAACTCGCCATTACGGCTATGCAAAGCCAGTATTGTCCGACGGCACATAAATGTTTGTGCTGCTTGAAAACGACTGCTTTGGAGATTATGAAGCTTCTATCTCCGAATGTGCATGAATGTTGAATATTGCTACTTTATACACTCAGGTCATAGTGTATCTAATATATCCTTAGTGAGACATGTTCACTGCACAGTTATATCTGTGTAGGTGCAAGCGAAAGTGCTCAAAATGGAGTAATTGTCAGAATTTCACTGTTCGCTCCCCATTTTAATTGTAATATTCTAGTGAAATATAGGAACTAATTAGTGTAAAATTACACTCAACACTTTTTGTGTTAACTTTTTAACCAGCCAAGGTCAGCTTCTGTTTGCATTCTTCAATGAAACCCGCCTAGCTAGACTGAGATTACAGTGATTGCAAACTGTTTTTCGTCCGTTTCAACAAGGGCTGGTTGCCAAATAAGATTGACCTAATTTTAGTGTGTGAAACAAAATAAAGAATTTTCGAATTTCCTAAGTAAAATATCACTATTCAAATCGGCTTGCGACCATCTACCTAAATTTGTACATGTCTTAATCGGAAAATACAGTTAAACTGTGCTTTATGAGACGGGGTTCCTTTTGTTTCTCTTCTCGGTTCATACTGATGGCACTATCAAAATCAACAGTGTTCTCGAAGTCATTCTTTGAGATATTTATAGGTACAGATTGATTAAGCTTCATGCACAAATTATAAAACACATAATACTATTCAATCAATTCATTTTATTTTGTAATTTGTCTTTTCACAGAGCATCAAATAAGTCTGTTAGGTAGGTTTCTGAAGTTTCATTCAACCTCTGAGAATGTTTAAGCTTTGGTCTTCACAGGGACTTATATATTACCTACTCAGATAAAACTATAGTCATATTTTCGTACGGTCCGTTGCCTTTGCGCCGGTTTGCTTTATTAGTTTGAACATATTTTCAGACTAATAGGAGCTCGTTTTATTTCGTGGATTGTCTTCAACTGCGTACATCCTAAACGAAATCAGTCAAAAGTTGCGAAATTTCTGAACGTAACTTTAACAGTGATTTCGAGTTATAGATTGTAACTCTGTTGCCTGTAATTTCTATCTATAAGTCGAAGTCGTTATGATAGTTACGTTCAGAAACTTTGATTTTGTTTAGCGTGTACTCAGTTGAAGAGAAATTAAACCATGTCACATTTTCCTACTTTATTGAGAAACTCATATATTTATAAAATCATGCATAAGGTTGAGTAACAGTTAGTTAATGGTATACGGACAGAAGTCAGCTGTTGATGAATTCCGCAATGAAGTATGAATTGTCGTGATTTTAGTGGAAATTCGTCTAAACTTACACTATTCAAGAAATCAAGAATTCGGGGATTTTATTCATGCCAATAGTTTTCAGACTATTTTCGAACGAGATAAAATTGTAACTAGCTGCAATTTATATAATGAAATCACCGTTTTTGTCTTATCGTTTCCGTCTTGATTTTTACGTTTTGCTTTAAACATTGTCATGATCTACTACTTAGTTTACTTCAAGAATTACGTTTGGGAACTTATGGTATTTTACCTCATTAAACTGTTTTATATGATATATATATATTTTCAGACGCATGCTGCAAAGCGAACGGTGAGTATAATAAATCACTGGTGATTTAACAAGATAAACGCGATGTATTATGCTTATGTCCATCTAATCGGTGGTTCAGATGGAGGTAGGATAAGTGATAGACAATTTGTTCGACATCCTTTGAAGAATCAACGGCAATATTTGCTTAGTATTTAGCATACAATAGACGAACAATCATGCCAACATGTCTACTATCCGTTAGTCATAGTCGCTAGTTAACTACAAAGAAAACGACACAGAGGTTGAAATCAATGTTATCAGTTAGAACACCGAAATTGTTTTCATGCATACTTACCCAGACAGGAGAACTTCAGGACTATTAGTGAATAAAGTAAAACAGAAACCAGAAAAGCAGAAGAGTCAGGCAACAAACATGTCGATTATTGTATGCCCATCATTTCACATTTAGATTTATATTTCATATTATAAACTATATTGACTTGTCAACATTTGCCTCGAATTATTTGTAGCTCAACGTATTCGTGATAATGGTGAGTGCAGTAGTTGTACGATGAAGAACAGTGTCTTAAATATGAAGTTATAAATACTTTTGATCAAATATGTAACCACAGAGAAAGACAAATAATCCGAATTTCGTCAGACGATAAGTCAAGGCCTAGTTTAGTGTCACAGGAATGCCTTATTCGATGTTCACTCAATAAAGCCTCAGCACATATTACGCTGTTGAATAGATAGTAGTAGTTGGAAGATATTTCCTAATCATCTTTAGATTTATCGAATCATATTAATCCATAGTCAGTGACTGCAACATGTCTGCAAATATACCTTGCGAATATGTCAGAATAAATCTCAACGGACTAGTCTGATTCCACCAAGAATACATATCCATTTGAGAAGGAGTTATTCATACTTAAAGCGTAATATCTGGCTATGATGTCAGTCAGAGTATCATCTGAAATGCATAACCAGCAGACGGGTTCTTATTTCGGTCATCATATTTAATCATATTTATGAGCAGAGTCAACAGACCTTGAATTATCTTTCATTTTACACAATATGTAGATGAAATTATCTTGTAGTGCACACACATAATGATCATTTTGTAAATTATTTCATCAGTATATTTGTTTGTTTTGATAATCAAGAGGCATCAATTGATGAACTTTGTAAGTCATGGAAAGTGCGGCATTTTATGAACATTTTGAACTGATGATTTTTAGTAGGATAACCTAGACAAGAATTTGTATTTTTTTCTTTCTTCATTAATGACATTTAACGCAGCATATACTGTGATTAAGTAATCACGATAATGTTGGCTTATGCTAAGTCAATTGGCCCTAAATAGAGTTAAAATCAGTTGCAAAACATACTGCATAATCACAGCAGATTCAGAATAGCAGACAGGTAGAGAATTGGTAAGAATGCTTGAAGACAATACATGTACAGATGGTTTTAAAACTGTTATACAATTCATCTAAGGAACTAAAAGCGGTTACATGTGTCCATCAACTTTGAGTATCTCCATATTTTACAATAATCGAAGTCCATTTGACCATCGAAACTTGGATGGTGGAAGATCCATCACCAGGATGTTATAAATGATCAATCGGTTTCTTCTATCACTAATGTGAAGTGACTAGTTGTCTTTAGAATACTTGTCATGTCTTATTCACTTTTCTATCCAGTCATAACCTCAGAACAAACTCTGTTGATTTCAGTTTAATTCACACTATGAGTGTCATTTAATGAATACACACGACAGATGTATCGGATCTTGCAGAATATTACAAGAAATTAATTCAACTTTGTGATTATTATTATTATTATTATTATATAAGCTTTATTCCAAATCAGTACTTGTGATACAGAATGGAATTCTCAGCATTTTACTACAATATTGCATCCAGTTTTTTTTTACATCAACAATAAATAAAGTTCTACATAGTTTAAAGATTATCTCAACAACATATTAGTATGTCGGTAGCAAAGCCAAAATTAAAATGTTTGAAGGTGTTACAAAAGTAGATACTACTAGCATATTTACTGGCGTAAGCGATAGCAAAATGGTCGAGATATACAGAGTGTAAAAGAACGAACAAGAATGTTTTAAGTAGAGTTTGCAAGGAAGAGAGAAACAAAACAGCACATAACAAAAATAAATACAGAATGAAGAGAGAGAAAACGTTGTACCTATAAATGATGTGAGTTGGAAAGACGAGATTCATTGGTTCTAGTGACTATTTAATAAGTTAAAGGTTTCATGCCTGATGCATTCTTTATCACACAGAACACGGGCTAGGTAGGGTATGGATGAGTTTTTGTACTTACTAGTGCGAGCATATAGTTTCCTATATAGACTTCTTGTTTTCCCTGAAGAGATACATGGGGAGAGTTGTGAGTGTAGAGGGTGTTGTGAGTCAGATAAAATGGACTTCGCCCATTTTTCACATGAGTCCATGTGCCTGTCCACCAGAATGTTAACAAGCTGGCTAAGTGGCAAGCTGCTTACCCTGCTGACAACCTTTAACATCCTACGTAATAAGGTATAGTCTTTCTTCAATAGCCCAGGAAAGACTAAGGGGGAGCAATAGAGAATTATAGGCAGAATACGGGAGTTAACAAATTGTAGTAGTAAGGGTTGGGTTACACCAGAATGTCTTAACTTCTTGATGTAGAAGGTAAGACGGTATATTTTCTTGGAAATCGTCAAGATATGAGACGACCAGGAAAGATCAGAAGATAGAGTGACGCCTAGGTATTTAATTTCCGACTTAGTTTCTATTTCAGTGCCATCTATGTTGCACACCTCGTGAGCGCTAACCAGTTTGTTTAGGTCAGATTTATGCCTAAAGGTGAAATTAACTGTTTGGCATTTGGAGGGGTTTAAGGTTAGACCGTTTTCCTTGGACCATTGGCTAATTTCTGATAAGAAGCCATTTAGTTTAGAGCAGTCATTTTGACATTTGACAGGTAAAGATACAGTCAGGTCATCAGCATATTTGACAAAGTTAATATCATTTGAAGACGGTAGGTCATGTAGGAAGAATGAAAAGAGAAGTGGGGAGAGTACAGCACCTTGGGGGACACCAGCTTCAGTGAGCACAGCAGAGGAGGATTGACCTTTGTATACGGTGTACTGCATTCTGTTTGAAAAGTAGGAATGCAACCACTTAGTGACCCAAGACTCGGTTTGTGTCGTGGAGAGCTTATTTAGCAAGAGACTTCTAGGTACAGAGTCGAAAGCAGAAGTGAAGTCAAGAAACGTGCAGCGGACATATTTGGCATCTTTGTCTAATGATGAGACAATACTGTTGTGTAAGACGGCTGCAGCGTCTAAAGTACTCCTACCCTGTCTGTAGGCAAATTGTTTGGGGTCTTCGAAGCTTTTAAGGGAGGGTTCGAGTTTAAGAAGTATTAGTTTTTCCATGAGCTTTAGAAACGGGGAAGTGATGGCGATGGGTCTGAACTTTACGTTCTTGCTATTTCCAGGTTTAGGGACAGGGACTATTTTAATGTCTTTCCATGGAACAGGTACAACGTTTTCGGAGAAAGAAGCATTTAGTATATTAGTTAGAGGAGAACATAAAGCATCTGCACATTGTTTTAGGACATATGCAGGTATGCCATCAGGGCCAAGACTATGTGAGGGCTTAAGAGTTTTAAGACATTTCAAAACATCGAGAGTATTGAAGTCCTGGAAGTTATCAGCTACAAGATTGGTAACATTAGGAGTGGTTATGGTAGAAGGAGAGCGTATAAAAGACAGATTAAGAGCATTAACATCACAAGAGGGAAAAACATTACATCGCTTACTATTGCCAGTAATTTCATTGAAAAGTTTCCACATGCTGTTTGGAGATTTGCATGATAAAAGTGTTTGGTTATAGATAGCATTAAGATTCTTGATTTCAGATTTGATTTGAGCGTTTATCTTTTTAAGTCCTAACTTGTCTTTGCATTTATATAACATTTCTTTTTGCCTGCGAAGTTGTTTGAGATGGGGTGACGAGAAGCGGTCGAGGCGTTTGAACAGTGTTTGTTTGGGACAGCATATGTCAAGGCAGAACTTAAGATAGTCCGTTATATTGGCGATTGTATCATCTAATTTACTTTCATTAAATAAATCCCAGTTGGTATCTTTTAACATGCATCTTAGATTGAGTAAGTTGTCAGATGTGTAGCTTCTTTGTTGTGCCTTCGTGGACAGGTGTGAGAAGATTTTAATATGTGTTTTGCTGTATATTTTTGGCAAAACGCGGACAATGCAGTGATCGGAGTTATGTATCGGTGAACGTCTACGTGTTTCATATACTCCTTCATCATTGGTAAAAACCAAGTCAAGGGTTTTGTCAAGTCGAGTGGGAAATTTGACTATATTTGTGTGACCAAGAGCTTCAAGAAAGGAGCAATCTGATGTGTTGAAGTCTCCAGTAATAACGGATAGAGAGTTGTCGAAGTTGGCAGCAGCAAACATGGTGAATTCATCAGCAAAATTAGATAGATCAGATGGAGAGCAACTAGGAGATATGTACATGTTTGTAATATAGAATTGTTTGTATTTGGGGATATGTTTGGGGCGACATTTGACAGTAATACAGTCAATGAAGTCATTTGAGAAGGTGAAGCAGATGTTATTTGAGACAGACCATTTGGAGTGAATAAAAGTTGCAACGCCACCACCATTTTTCTTATTACAACAGCGACGGTCTTGTCGAAATAAAATAAAGTCCTTTAGTGAGATAAGGTTGTCATCATACAGTTCATGCAACCACGTTTCTTGTAATGCGATTATGGCAGTGTTATGATACGTATCAGTTGACATCAGGGATTGTAGATACATTATCTTATTTGGTAGAGAGCGACAGTTTGAGTTCATTATGACGGGGACCGTAGTTAAGTGTATTGGTGTACGTTTGAGAGCTCTCTGCCAACCACTACGATGTTTCCTCCTTGGTTTCTTTGGAATATGAAAGTCGTTTGGTCGTAAATTATTAATAAAGTTACGAGAGTAAATGATTCTGCTAGAATTCATATTTAAGTGATAAGTGTATGCTGGTAAACGGGAAACTGGATGCAAAATGTAGATATTTTGTTAGCAGGCCCAAAAATTCAACAGGCCGCCAAGGTCAAGGTCAAGGTTGTGCAATGTACTTGATTAATACTTTAATGCTTGTTTTTACATTTTACTTTTTTTGAAAAGTTAACCGGCTCAGCAGAATGCGTAAGTGATCATGTATATTGAGATGAAGAGTTATGATTTGTGAAATTGCCATTCTGCCGCCCTGTTGATTAAGTGAGAATTTCCACAGTTGTGTGAAAATAAAACACGTATTGTGACTCTATTTAAAGGAAAGACACTAAAATTTCAATTTCCTAAATATAAACACGGACAAATCTTTATAACATCACTGTAGTTTCAATGTCTTTATCAGTGAAACAAAAATGATATCAAATAAGTTTGAAACTGGTTTATATGAGATGGGTGAAATCTGCCACAAGCAGTGGCTATTTACCCCAGCTGACGTCTACATAAGTCTATGGGTTTCTTGATCATTTCATTTTTTTGTGTGATTGACGTTAAGAAGTAGTTTTTACGAGCTTGCCTCACTTTACCGTAACACGTAGACATCACTATACATCATGGCGATTCAGCTTAAGTGTTGATTGGCGTGGGAGATGATAAATCACTTTGACAATTACAATCACACCTGTTGTACTCAAAATGACTGACTAGACGATGCATGAATGGCAAAAGATTTATTAGAAATCTCGCACTTTCTCTAAGACATTCAATCTATGACTAACCAATGTGAAGGTTTGAATAAAATGCACATGTCTCTAGAGTCACGTAATCAAACTGAAAAGGGCAACTAGGCGTGAGAAGTAAATGTCATCTCATTCCAAAGAAAATAATATACCAATTTATCTTTGTTCAAATTAACAAGATCTCAAGAATATTTTCATGACTGCTTTCTGGTCAAAACAGATTCAGGTTCACCAAGTAGCGGTAAGTCAAACGTGACAGATTTCATCTCATACATTCCGACACTTTTCGAGTATTCGTCAGACAAGAATATTTGGACAGCGTTATTAGAAGACAGAGATTATTTGTGAGCGACGCCATCCAAATGTATCAAAGAGACTAACTGCTACAAATCAATGAATATTTCAGAATTAGAATGACGTGAGGAAGAAACAAAATAAAAAGGA